CGACTGACGCGTCAGGCCGCCGTTTGGCGCTCTGACGTGTTGCTGTGATTTTGTCCTCCCCTGCAGGCGTCCTACCGGCTCTGTAGGGGTCGTGTCTCGTGTCCTGCCAGTCGACCTCGTCCCCGGAGCTGTCGCTGTCGTCGTACGGATGGACCATGCGGTAGTTCTCGAAGGAGATGGACACTAAAACAGAGACGTGTCACACTTTGAATTAAACTTTATTAACCGCCGTTCACAGACACGCCGACCGTGGCGCCTTCAGAACTTCAACTGCTTCACATAACCCGAAGCTTTCTGAATCACCTTTGCTGTCCCCGTTGAACTTCTTCTCCTCGCGCCGCAGCTGGTCGTCGAACTCGCGGTCGAACTGCATCTGCAGCATCTGGGCGAGCATCAGGTCGCTGGTGGTGTCGGGGGCTTCGTCGGGCAGCAGCTCGGCTGCAGGACTGAGAGACAGACGCGTTACCACCTGAAAACCTTTTAAAGCTCTTGATTTACTGACGACAGGAACGTTTGACGTTAACAGGACGGAAACTTTTAACCCTCAGAAGCTTAAACGGGAACTCTTACTCAGAGAGCGCCGGGACGACGGCGTTCTCCTCGTCCAGCTGCTTCGCCAGCTGTTCGCTCATCACCTCAGCGAGAGAGCAGGCTGGAGCCGCCGGGGCCGCCGAACCCCACGGGCTCTGACAGTGACAAGAAATAGACACATGAAATGACTGAAGGTCCTCCAGAGAACTCCTCACATGAGTAATCAGAGTACTTGGATCATGTTACTGACATTACGATTACCTCAGGTTTCTTTGATCTTCACAATAACAAACAAACAGTTTTATACTAATTCACCGTTTATACATCACACATTCTTTAATGTTCCACAGATTTAAATGGATATTTATTGTTTTTACACATTTTATTATTTTATGCATTTATGGTGAGCTTTTATCTTTTGCATCATATACATATATTATTTTATATCACACTCCGTTTTTGTGAAGCGTGTGCAGTCCAACACGGGACTGTATGACATCATTTCTCTCCTGATACCAACAGTTTCTGGACTGTTTTCTGGAATCTTTGTTATTGATTATTTGATCAAAAAAATAGTCCAAAAATCCCCCAAAATGTCCTGATTTACTCTACGGACGTCCCCCAAACTCAGGATATCTTAATGACAAAAACTATCTGACAAATTATCAGAAAGAAAAACAGAAGATAAGAAAAATCTGTCATCGTAAAAACTTTTTCTTGATTATCAGCTAATAAAATTCAAATACTGGTGCAGTCAGAGCTTATTTTAGCCAATGAGCTGAAGTTTAAACTGGTGGAAACGCAGTGGAGATTTTAGTGTTTTTTAAATGTTGGTTTTTCACAGACGGATGTTTCTTATTTCCTCGAGTCCGCCTTCAGTCGAGCCTCGGTGCTGCATGAACAGGTGAGTCAGGAGCTACAGGTGGGCCTGAGTCACCAGGCACAGAAGAACATGTTCAGACATGTCTGAAGCACAGCTGGTTATTATTTACAGTCTGAGGCAGGAGTGTTAAATATAAGGCCCGGCGTCCACAAATGGCCCGGCAGAGGCTCCACTCTGGTCCACCGGACTTTGGAAATTATGGAGGACTTTTAACTGGATTTCCTGAAGTTTCACCGTTTTCCTCACTGACTCAGACCCCCTCACGAGCCACTACAGCACAGTAATTATGTTATAGACCGAGAACTACACTTCCTGTTTACTGACAGTAAAACAAACACTGTGCTTTCTGATTACAGGACAGTGTGCGCCTCCGCAGCTCCCTCTGTTATAGTTCAAGCCCACAGGCAGCTGATTTCTCTGTGACGAAGGAAAACTGATGTGACAGCTGAAACTCTCCCGGACTCGATGTGAAGCTAAACCTTTGGCTCACGAAACGTTTCCGGGATAAACAGGTGGAATCTAGAGGTGTGTCATCACAGAGGCTGTCTTGGCCCGGTCCAGTCCGGGTCAAACCGGCCAGCCTGTGGTCTGAGCTGAAGCATCGGTGAGCTCATCTCCTGCTTTAACCACCAGCTGACAGGCTGTTATCTAAAATAACACACAGTCCGGTGCCTCCCGGGTTATCTGCAACCAGAGCCTTTAAAGGAAACAGCCGCCATGGTAGCACTGGGAGCGGCTAACAGCAGCCGCGGCCGCTCCCCGAAGTCTAACCGATAACCGCGGCAGGAGAGCCGGGCAGAGGAGGGACCTACCTTCGGTGTCTGCGCTGTGACTCCTGATTGATCCATGATGATGACGATGATGATTATAGATCGATTCTCTCCGCGGAGGGTGAATGATGGCTAGCTGCTGAGCTAACGTTAGCTTTGAAACTTCCAGAAAGTAAGGTGAATAAAAACCTACACGCGCTGTGACACCTGAGCCAAACTGTGCTGGACACTTCCGGAACCGCGACAGAAATAATTTACGAGCCGGAAACAGAAGATTTTTTAATAAACCAACGGCTGTAAGGAGGCAGAAGAGGCCGCACAGAGGAGCTTCACAGAACAGTTCACCCTTAGCACGACAGGAAGAACGTCACTGTTCAACTAAGACACTACTGCCCGCCTTCACAATAAAAGCCCTCCCACTTTTAAATTAATACGTTTCCAGAACTAAAATCTTCTGAAATCCAAATGTCTGCATCTTTAATCTCAATGTTTAGTTGTTTTCTTCCACTCCATTGATTTAAAATCGCCTGGAGGTCAAAAAGTCACAAAATCTGAAAAAAATACGCATGAGCATCAATTTATTTAAAAAGTAACACAAATCAAGCTTCTTTCCAGTGATGTATCATTTTCTACTTTTAATATGTTATTTTCTTTTTCATTTATTATATGAAAATAAAATAAAAGACAAATAAATGATTTAGCCTCAATAGCCAGAAATGTAACCACCGTTTACCATCAGCTAGCAGATATCACATCCAACCCAGTAATCTTGTCCCAGGCAAACTGGGTAAACTGGTGCCCGGACGTGTGCCCGGAGCAGACCCGGGACACCCTGGACAGATTCCATCTCTCAGCTGGGCTGGAAACGCATCAGCGCCCCCTGAATGAACCGCGTATTAAAAAGAAATCATTAAAAAGACGATTAAAGATGAGACTTTTTAGAATATAATAAAACATGTTAACAATCAAGCAGCTAAATCAGTTACAAAGATTATTAATATTTATATTGAAAATGATATATTAGCACGTGTGTGGTGTGAAAGGTGAAATTTTCGATGTGAAATAAAATTTTAAAAATGACGTATTTGAAAGCTTCATCATCTCTGCGCGTTCCGCATGCGCGTTCAGACTGTGCGGCTGCGCGCACGACCTACAATCTGTCCAGGTTGACTCGCGAACGCGCTTCGCTGTCACAGGTGTGTAAAGTCACGCGGTGTTTACATTAACCAAACCGGAAGCCGCCCAAGTGGGACTTAAAAATAAAAGCAAAAAATGAAACAATCAGAAAATTGGATAAAATAATCGTTTTTATTTGTTGCAGGAAAGATAATTGTTTGATTGATTGAATCTTTATTTTGAACATGTTGAAAAAGTACAACAACATAGAATTAAAAAGAGAGAAACAAACAAAGCAAAACAAAAGGAAAACGAGCAAAAACAACTACGAATAACTTTCATGTTCAAAAAGCAGCAGGAAGAAGCACGAGCTTATTTAATCCCACCCCCTGTCCACTGTCTAGTATCAACAGACTGCAGAAATACCTCCTTACAATCACATTATATGTTACGTGTATTTTTTTTAAAATGTATTAATTATATGTGTATCTGTCTTTCTATCTATCCATACATACGTATATACACATACACACATTTTCAGTAACCCCAGTAACCTCAAAGGATACACAACCTACAGATATATACACCCACACCAACATACCCGTGCACCCGCACACACATGAAAATATTGGACAAGATCTCCGCCTCCTCCCTGTACGCTGCAAAAACCACATCCTTAAACCGCTGTTTAAACTGCGCCGTGCTCGGACTTTGCTTCATATCTTTACTTAGTCTGTTGCACAGCTTCACTCCACACACAGAGATGCAGAAACTTTTTAAAGTTGTACGGATACGAGGATGTTAAATTTAATTCCCCCCTCAAATTGTGTCCCCGTTCCCTTTTAGAAAACAGTTTTAGAATATTGTCAGGAAGCAGGTCGTTTATTGCTTTATACATAATGTGTGCAGTGAGAAAATGAACCAGATCTGTGAATGTTAGAATTGTTGATTTTAAGAATAGTGGATTTGAATGATCTCTGTCAGCAGTTTGATGGATTATCCTTACGGCCCTTCTTTGTAATATAAAGACTGATGATAGCGAACAAGTAAACCTCTGCACAGTAATGCAAACACGGTGCAATCAGGGAACAATAATGTGGAGTGTTTGTGGTCCACAATGTGTTTTACTCAAGATTGAGACACTTCTTGAAATTTTGTTATGTATATGATTTATATAAGACTTCCAGTTTAATTTATCATCTATAATCACACCAAGAAACTTATGTTCAAGTACTCTTTCAATTTCCACACCATCTACATGAATCTGCACTTGTGCATTTCTAAGGGAATTCCCAAATAAGATAATTTTAGTTTTACTGAGATTTAGTGATAGTTTGTTCCTGTTAAACCATTTTTTAAAATGTTGTACATTTCTGAAGTAACTGTATCCAGCAGCTGCTTCAGATCCCCCCAGAACAAAACTATTTGTGTTGCCTGCAAATAATACTCATTTTGATATATCAGATGCCTGTAATATAGTTGTTTAGAGCAGCACTGAAGCCCTCATGTAAGTAATTCCACCTTTGAAGAATTTGAAGCTCTGATGCCAGTATGGGCTTAAACCCACGATGCGCTAACCAGCTGAGCTAATTGGCCAAACAAAACCAACGGCTAAATGAAGCACCTCCACAATCAGAGAAAAAAAGAAGGTTCAAGCCGTGAAGCTGGTGTCATCAGCAACAACATGCTGAGCTAAGCTGGCTGCCCAAAGCACGGGTCCTCTTCAGCTAATTCCTCTGGAACCGGAAAATAGCACCAACTGCAGTTCCTGTGATGTCCACCAGAGGCTGCAGCAATGAGCCGAACACCAAAGACTCACATGTCAAATGTGACACTGAGGAGTCAGTCAGTCCACATGATGCTCACAATGGCCAGTTTGGCCTAACCTAATACTCTGACGTTGAGAGTGAGGGGGCGGGGCCAGATTAGAGGGTTCACAGATGAAGGTCATCAGCGCAGGTTTGAAACGCTTCACTTCAGGGTCAGTGAGTTTTATTTTGAAAGTGCTGACCGGAAGCGGTGCTGTTCATGACTGAGGAGTGACAGTGTGGGAGCATCCTGACGTCTTCTGTCGGAGCACAAAGTGGAAACGCACCTCCTCCTACTCCTCTTCCTCCTCATGATGCACGAGCACGCGCTTCATCCTCTCAGAGCCGTTTGATTTCATGTCGGTTTGTTTCCGGTTGGGCTCTAACGGAGATCTCTTTTGTCCGATGGCCTCCTCCTCCTCCTCCGTCCTCAGCATCAGCACCACCGCCGGAGGGCCGTCGGGCCAGTCAGGACGGCCGGGATTGAACCAGCAGCAGCTCTGCCGGAAGCTCTGTGAGTAATTCCCTTTAAAATGCGGGTGAGCGCGTCCTCTGGGATGTTTCAGGTTTCCACCTGCAGCCCGAGCACGCGGAGGGTCACTTTGAGCCTGAGCACGAGCCTCAAACATCAGGAAACTGCTGCAGATGTGCCAGATGTTCCAGTAGCCTCTGGCAGCTCCTGCCTTCACGCTAGGACCACAGACTGCGCGCCTGACGCGATTAATGCCGCGGCAGATGGAGACAGCTGGGTGGAGAGGGGGGTGGAGGGTCTACGGGCCAGAGCACAGGGTCGTCTGCAGGCAGCAACCCCCTCCGTGAAATTAGAAATAAAGACAGAGGAGCACCAAAAAGAACAGGGCGCAAAACAGGAAACAGTGAGAAAAGAAGAAAATTAAGACGGTAAAAAAAATACAGAAAACCAAACTGTAATAAAAATAATAATAAAAATAGTTTTTACAAAAATGTGGAGACATTTGGAGACAAAGAAACTGCATGAAATAAAAATCTAAAAAATATGTCGAGATAAAGACGCTACAATAAAAATAAGAATGAAAAAAATAAAATAAATAAATAAAAACTTGTAATAAATAAATAAAAACTGCACTTAAAGGAACTGAGTCCGAGGTAATAATAATAATAATAATAATAATAATAATAAAGCATGAAATTCAAAATAGAAGCTAAATACACCAAAAGAATCAAGAAAATTAAAAAAATTAAAATCAGAAACATATTTTGTAAAAATATTAAAAAATCATCGAGACAAAGAATTATCAGATAATAACAATAAATGCTGCAGTAGAGACAAACGAGCCCATAAAATACTGAATGAAAGCTGAAAAATTACATCTTTCCAATGAAATGCTGAATTTCTCTGATATAAAACTCTTGATTGTTTCAGTTTTTTAAAGGCTCGTCTGCAGTGAACAAACAGGAAGTTCATGTTTGATGTGTAATTTAAAAAAGGAGCTTTCCTTCGGCAGCGACGGCGCATCATGGCGGCGCATCATGGCTGCGCATCATGGCGGCGTCTTTGCCTGACGAGTTAGCTTAAGCTCTTCCACATCCTGCATGGATTCCCTCCTTACAGGGGACCGGGTTGGACCCTTTGGTGGCCCGGTTACGGCCCCTGGGCCGTATTTTTATTTCTGCAATAAGAAACGTAGCTGATATTTTTACTGATTATAGAACAGCAGGAGCAGCTGTGCATGTCCACTTTCACATATCTGTAGCTCTGACCAGCAAACATGCCCGTGCAGGCCCACAGTGGGTGGGGATGGGTGAACTGTGGGGGTGTGTGGGCTGGTCAAACACTTATCTGTGGGTAAGCCCACTGCAGCCCACAGTAAACCCACATTTATCCGGTAAGACCTGAAACTTGAGCCATGATCTCACAGAGCAGGCAGTGAAGGGTGTTTCCTCGTTGACTTCTGTAGCACCGCAAGTCTCTCTGCATCCAGGAGTCGCCCTCTGCTGGCCACCAGAAGAAATGCAGCTTTCAGCTTTGGCCTGACTTTTTATCTCTGTGCATCCATGTGTTTGGTACCATTTTCACTATGTCTGAGCTCTAGTTTAGACACACTGAAGCCTCCACCGCCTGTGTGTAGGAGGTGGTGGAGGAACAAGCCCTCGTTGTGTGCAGAACTCTGATCTTCAGTGACTTCACTCGTTGATGATTTCATGTCCTCTCCATCTGTCCCCTCTCCCAGGCTGAGGAGGCCCGACTGACCCGTTCATCTTTACCGAGTGCAGAACAGCAGGACCTTTCGTCGCAAGTGGCTTCGCCATGACAGAGCAGAGATTCAGCGACATGACCGGATGAAACCTGAAAGAGCCACGATGGAGAGCAGGAGGAGGCGGGATGTCGACAGGAAGGAGAATTAGGACGGGAACAGCAGCAAAATCCAAAAGCTGGTGTTTTCTTTTTCTGCCCAAAGGTTAGAGGACTTTCTGGACTTTGAGGACCTTCAGCTTCCCGAGACCCGACGATGTAAAAGAAGACAGCGGTGATGATTGTCCCTCTATAAGCTGCAGCAGCAGATTGTGCAACATACACATGATTGTCTCACAGGAAAGGATCCAAGAGTTCCTCGTCCTTTAGCTGAAATCTGACATCACGCGTCACAAACGCACAGCAAATACGATTGTGTTACTGATACAAAGGGCAACTAACCGTCCTGCAGGTGTTACTCTTTAAAACTGGACTGGAGGAAGTGCTCGGACACCGTGTCAGAGGGAGGCAAACCGTTTTGGGCATCGGGAGTAGATCCAGAGGGAGACCCCATGATGTCTCACCTACACGCCGGCCTGAGCTCGGAGACGACGGAGAAAGCTCGACTGGAGCTGAACGAGAACCCGGACACCCTGCACCAGGACATCCAGCAGGTACACGGCTGCACCACACAGCTGAGTCAGATCAGGCAGGTCTGCAGAGTCAGACGAACCTCAGGTGATGCTGTATCTGCAAATCACTTCCACCACACTCCTCCATCAGTCACACGGGCGTAGAGACCAGCTGGTGACCCCCAGCAGCCACTGGTTGCTAGGGAAGAGTTTTCCCCAACCAGCTCCAAGTAGATGCACGAGGTTTCTCTGTTCTCGCTGCACGCAAAACCTCCTGATTGCTTTGGTTGCACTTTATGACGTGTCAGCAACACTCGGTGGTTGGGAGGCAAAACTAAACTCTGCTGATAGCTTCTTCTTCGGTGGTGTGGGGTCACTGCTGACAGTAGACAGTGCAGATGTTTCTCGTCAGGCTAAACCTGTGACGGGAGAATCTGCACCGTCACCTCTTCACACATCAGCTGCTATCACTCACGTAAAACTAGCTGATGGAGGGAAACAGACATTGCACTTCATTTTCTTTCAGTTTTCCTTCACAGAGAAATTATTATTTTTTATCAACAGATTCTACAAACTTGTGTACATTGTATGCATCTTACTTTCTCAAACATTTCTTTCCCAATCATTTTTACCTTTTCTTGTTAAACAAAAGACAAATTCAAATACAAAAAACATCATAACAACACACGAACAGAAAATTGAGAAAAAAGAAAAAAAGAAGAAGAAAAAATATTTAAAAAATAAATTAAATAAATTAAAATAAAAAAAATTAAATTACAAAAAACAAAAATTAAAATTAAACAATAAATAAATAAAAATAAAAGAAGGGGGGGGCTTAAATCCTGTGCCTTAAAAAAGAGTACATTTCAAATTCTTTTCAATCTAGTCGCAGGCGGGTAAACTGCATCGTTCTAACTACTAGAGAAAAGATCTGAGATATTCCACAGACAGTGTCCACTTGTGGATGCATTTTGCAGAACTACCCGTCACTGTGAGTGAGATCGTCTCCGCCCTCGAGGATGTCTGGACACCATTAAGGCATTTTGATGCAGATGGAGGCGATTTCCAAAGAAGTCAAATACAGCGTTTAGCAAGAAGGGAACAAAAAGCCAAGATCTCAGTTTGCTGGGGAGTCATATTAAGAGGGTCTGTGGAACTCCAAATATGGCAGTCAGAGGGTCTTCTTGGATCTGAATTCCAAAAACCCTGAAAGTACGGAAAAGAAATCACAATGTGTTCAAACTTGGACAGAAGAAAAACACACGGCTTAGGTTGCAGGAGGAGGTGTGACATCTGTCCATCGGTCTATAACTGAAGAAAACTTTAGATAAACGTTTATTACCTTAAACTGCATAAGCTGTAGCACACGGTGTACTTGAACGCGTGATGAGATTCACTTTATCCCACCACGATTCAAACAGTTCAACATCTAATTTTGTTCTGATTTTACCTGATGAATCCGATTAGAGGAAATTCAAATGTTTCTAAGCTCAAGACGTTTTATGAGGACTTAAAAAACGTCAAATTTATGACTGAAGTTTGACACTTTGTGACCAAAAACAAGTCAAAGGATGAATGAATATAATTCACTTGACATAAACAAACGTCCTTTAAGTCATGTGATCAGTGTCTCTGCTGCCTTTTATGGATGCGTAACGAGTCTGACTTCCTGTCTAAAGGTTCGGGACATGATCGTGACGAGGCCAGACATCGGTTTCCTGCGGACGGACGACGACTTCATCCTTCGCTTCCTCCGAGCCAGAAAGTTCGACCAGATGGAAACCTTCAGGCTGCTGGCCCAGTACTTCCAGTTCAGACAGCAGAACCTCGACATGTTCCAGAGCTTCAAGGTCCGATTCTGTGTTTTCAACAACAAGCCATCAACTGTCTTTTTCAGGAGTCGTGTCTGCTGTGTTGTCCCTGACCGGGGGAAACTGTAACCCCTGCAGAGGAATCGGTGTCCTTTGGTTTGGATGCGTTGGTGCTGTTCAGGGAAATATTCCGTGTTGCATCCTTCCCACATCTCTGACGGTCACTCCTCATGTCCACAGAGAAATATTCACACGCTGATGAGCTGAGAGAGGCGTTCTTGGTCTTATTCCTGCAGTTGAAACAGTTTGTGACACCAGGAAGTCTGCAGCAGCTGCTCCTAACTCCTAACTGTAAAAAAGAATAAGGGAGCCGATTCCCTGCATGTGGGTGTGTGTGTGTGTGTGTGTGTGTACGATGGGAATGTTGCTGAAGTGAAACACCGACGCTTGGCTGCTCTAACACGTGTGCGCGTTTGTTGGCAGGTGGATGACCCGGGCATTAAGCGAGCGCTGACGGACGGATTCCCGGGCGTGCTGGAGACTCCGGATCAGCACGGCCGGAAAATCCTCATCCTGTTTGCTTCCAACTGGGACCAGAGCAGGTGAAACACACACACACACACACACACACACACACACACACACACACACACACAC